GGACTTTGGGAGTGTGGGGCACTGGCACAGAGACTGCCAGGTGCCAGGCCTGAGAGTCCAGGCCCATCTTGGCTGGTGGGGGCTTTTGCTTCTGAAGCCTGCTCACCAAGCCTCCTTTCCAGGGGCCCTGGCTGGAGCCTGGGTGTTTTCCATCAGCTCTTGGGTGGCCTGTGCCAGGCTCTGAGCTGTGCTGTTCTGGAGCACCTGGAGAAGGGTGGGCCCTGCATGTCAGTGTCTGCCTGGGTGCATGTCCTCCTGGAGGAGGTGGCTTTGCCCCCAGGCCCCCTGCTCCCCTAACCCCCCACCCCTCTGCCTCTCTGCCCTCTGCCCCTCTGCCCCTCTGCCCCCTTGCCCCCCTGCCCCTCTATCTCCCTACCTTTCTACTCCTCTGCCCCCTCCCCCTTGCCCTTCTGCCCCCTGCCTCCCTGCCCCTCTGCCCCCTGCCCTGCTCATGGTCTTGGCTCACTAAGCGGCTCTCTGGCCCCCTTTGCTTTCAGACCATCAACACACTGAAGGGGAGGATCTCGGAACTGCAGTGGAACGTGGTGGATCAGGAGATGCGGGTGTAGCGCCTGGAGTCGGAGAAGCAGGAGCTGCAGGAGCAGCTGGACCTGCAGCACAAGTGGGTGGGGCCAGGGTGTGGGGTCAGGGCTGGAGCTGGCAGGGGTGGGATCACGGGTTGGGGTGTGGGGCCTGCCTCTCTCCTGGTGGCTGGGTGGGATGTGGATGCACTCCCAGATGCTGTCCTAATTCGCAGACAGTCAAGAGGGGCAGACATTGAGGCCCCTGGAGCCAGGACCATGAGCCCAGAAAGTGTCCTCATGTTCCTAGAGCAGAGTGGGGTAGCAACTTCCTCGCACTCCTTCCTGGAGAGGGCTGCTGCAGATTTTACTTTACTTTTTGAGACAGGGTCTCACTCTGTCATCCAGTCTAGAATGTAGTGGCGCAATCATGGCTCACTGCAGCCTTGACCTCCTGGGGTCAAGCGATCCTCCTGTCTCAGCCTGATGCCCAGCACCATGGGCATCTCCTAAAGAGTTTGACCCTTACCTCAGCAGATGTGGTTTTAGGAGAGTTCTAGTTTCATAGTAGAGAGGAGAGGTCATTTCTGGTTGGGGCTCTGCCACAGCTGCTCCAGGGCGGCGGGTTGCGGCCAGCAGGTGAAAGCTGTGGGTGCCACTGCTGTCGAGGACCTTGCAGGCGGCTTGGGCTCATTATGCACCCCGTGCGGATGAGCAGACTGAGGCCCCAGAGCCAGCCAGCAGGGGCTGGGGCCCAGGACCTTGAGGTACCCATGCAGTGGCAGTGTGTGTGGGGGGGTCTGTGCAGGTGGGGGTCCTGAACCTTGGGGTGGGAGTGAGCGTGTGTGGGTCTGTGCTGGGGCGGATCTCAGGCTGAAGAGAATTGTTGGCCTTGCCACATGCCTGTTTCTGTATGTGATGTATTTTTTTTTTTAATAGAAAATGGCAGGAAGCCAGTCAGAAAATCCAGGAACTCCAGGCCAGCCAAGAAGCGAGAGCAGACCAAGAGCAGCAGATTAGGGTGAGTTGCTTGTGTCAGGTGCCTTGTGGACATCCCAGGCTAGAGTGCAGTGGTGCAATTTCAGCTCATTGCAACCTCCGCCTCCTGGGTTCAAGTGATTCTCCTGCCTCAGCCTCCCGAGTAGCTGGGATTACAGGTGCGTGCCACCACGCCCAGCTAATTTTTGTATTTTTAGTAGAGACAGGGTTTCACCATGTTAGCCAGGATGGTCTTGATCTCTTGACCTCGTGATCTACCCGCCTCACCCTCCCAAAGTGCTGGGATGACAGGTGTGAGCCACTGTGCCCGGCCTGGTTTGGTTTTTTCTTTGCAAATTGCTGGGCATGGAATCTCTGGTTTGCCTGTGCTGCTTTGTGCGGGTGCACAGTGGCTTCTTGTCTGTAAGGCGGCTGGAGTTTTCAGGCTTAATTCTTCAGTGCGTATGGTTGGGAGTGTGAGCTGTAAGCAGGCCTGGAGTTTTTCTCTTTCTTCCCTCCCTTTCCTCCTTCCCTCCCTCCTGTCTGGATGATTTTTTGGCATATGAAAGTAACATGTTCACCGTGGACACACTGGGTCGTAGAGAAGATCCTGTGGCCAGTTTGTTTGGTTTGAGTCCCTTCTCTTGGCTCTAGAGAAAAGGAGGACTCTGTTTCACACATAACTTGTACATATTTCACTTTGTTTTCCTTCTTCAAGGTTAAGACTAGATTTGATTTAG